CCACTTCATAAACAAGCTGGTACCACACAATCTTGAACTTGATATAACTTTAAAATATGGGTGAAATCTTTGAATTGAAACAAAGTGGGACACAGAGAAGGAAGGAAGCTGATGTGTTGATTTGAACGAGCTACACTTCTCTTCCCCCTTTCATTATTTTAATCTCTCTCTTCATCCTCTTGTTACACGCTATTCCCACTCAGAAGCGAGAGCTATGGAAGTTCCCTTCCAAATTATCCCATTCACTCTTTAAAGGGGCGATCTGCAGTTGCTACATCCATTTTTTGACGTATAAATGAAATTGGTCCTTCAGTCAGAAGAGCATGTCCTCTGGCAGTGAGGCCTCTCCTTACTGCTTCTCTCATCATCCTCCTGTCATCCTCTGGGCCACAGGCAACTTTAGCCTTCATCTGCCTAGAGTGGTACCTTAGGTGTTGCCGTGGTTTCGCAGGATCTTGACACTCTCCTCCCTCTCCCTCTCTCTCCCCTCTCTCTCTCTCTCTCTCTCTCTCTCTCCTCCCTCTCTCTCTCTCTCTCTCTCTCTTTCTCCTCCCTCTCTCTCTCGTTCCTCTCTTCTACCTCCCCTATCTCTACCACTCCCTGCAGGTGTGTTTGATGTGGATGTGAACGTCGGAGCTATGGCTCATGGTTATGCACCTGTGAGTGTCGTCAGAGAGATGTGTGAGGCCCTTAAACCAGGTGAGATTCCTCGTTATACTTTACTCATTCTTCTGATTTGTACTGTAGGCTTTATGCTGGAGCTAAATAGATAGATGGAACAATGCCGATAGAAATAAAAAAAAACTCACGTTGTGTTAGCAACGGTCATCAAAATTGTTTAAAAGGTTTTTAAAACAATTCTAATAAATACAACAGTTGGACAATGGATGAAGATACTGCAAACTTTTAGAATTGTTTAAATCCATCAGACATTGAGTGAACTATAGCACATAAAACATTTAACTGGCAAGGACAGATTTAGCCCAAGATGTCATCTTAAGGAGCCTACCGTTACTCCTTAAGGTCCAAGGATCTCATGTTATTTTCAGAGGTAGACTGGCTCTGGCAGACAAAACAGCCAAATACTCCATCTAAACCAGTGGAGGCTGGTGAGGGGAGGACGGCTCATAATAATGTCTGGAAAGGAGCAAATGGAACAGCATCAAACACATGGAAACCATCTGTTTGATGTATTTGATACCATCCCACTAATTCCACTTCCAGGTGTTACCACGAGCCTGACCTCCCCAATTAAGGTGCCAACAACCTCCTGTGATCTAAACATGAATCGATTCTAAACTGCGATCCGATACACACAGGTGTTCGGGGCATTCTGGATAGCTAATTAGCACAGGTGGTCCCTCTGCCTTCCGTAAACACGCACTGTAACATGGAGCCGTGTGGGAACCCTAAACCCTAACCCTATAAAGGTGTGTATCCATTTGTGTATCAATTTAACCAATTGAAATGATTTCTCGCTGATATGAAAGATAAGGTCCTTTTGCTTCCACAACCCGTACCGCAAGCGATGCATGTTCTGGCCGAGCGTTCGGGCATCTTAACAAAACTCCCCCCGTACAGCAGACGCCTTCGTCCAATGACTCTTATGTGTAATGTAATGGAACTGAGAGTCGTGATCAAGGGCTAGGACTGATAATGAATTGAGTTCAGTTGATTTAGGGGAGAATTAAGGTATTCAATGTATTGTCATATACAAATATTTTTTAGAACGCACTCATGTACAGTATACATTTATCTAATGGTATCAGGTATTTCTTTAAATATATTGTCTTAAAATAAAGAAAATGTTGCCTAATTTGCGTAAATACTCTGGGTGTAAGTTAAGATAAAGGGAGGAACAGGGCTGCAACCACCAAAAAACATGTTCTTTGTAGGCTTACCTGTGCTGTCTAGACTGCCTCATTAATTACTGTTGTTGTCACGTTCTGTTGCATAATTCAACAAGTGTGTCAATAGCAGGATACCCTCAGATTATTTACCTTTATTTAATCAGGGAGTCACCATTGAGACCAGTGTCTCTTTTACGAGGGAGCCCTGCTTATACAATTTAATAAAATACCTCAAAAATAAAATACAATATGAAACTAATAAAATACAGCATAACACATATTGCACTTTTTTTTTAGTAGATTTTTTTATTGATGTAGTTCTGTCCTTGAGCTGTTCTTGTCAATTATTGTTCTGTATTATGTCATGTTTAATGTTTTGTGTGGACCCCAGGAAGAGTAGCTGCTGTTTTTGCAACAGCTAATGCGGATCCTAATAAAATACCAACAAAAATACCACAGACAAACATAAATATACACAAAACACAGTCAACTAAAACAAACACATTCTTCGTTATAAAAATCCTCTGTCTGCTTCCTTAACTGCCCTGGGGACACTAAAGCATCTATTTTAAATGTATTTTGGAGATCATTCCAAACGTGTGGAGCAAGACAACTAAAGGCTGACTTACCTAACTCTGTAGACACCAAAGGAGTCTCCAGAGTTAACAGACCCTGTGAACCGGTTTGATACCATGTCATGTTAAATCTTAACAGTGAAGTTACGTATGTCGGAAGTTTGTGGAGCAGGGCTTTGTAAACAAAAAGAGAGTAATGATGTGATCTACATGACTTCAAAGAGGTCCAGCCAAGCTTTTGGTAAAGAATACAGTGATGAGTAATACAACTGTCTCGTGTCATAAAACGAAGGCCGCTATGAAAAATGAGAATATAAATAGTATCACCATAATCAAGAACAGGTAGAAAGGTTGGCTGCACAATCTGCTTCCTGCTGGCTAGAGAGAGACACGATTTGATGCTGTAAAAAAAAGCCCACTTTAAATCTTAGTTTCTTAACAATCTCATTTGAATGTTTTTTAAAACTATAAATCATTGTCAATCCAGATTAGCCTCTACGAATCCGAGAGTGGAAGACTCCTCTCTCGTCTGTAACATGTAAACTCACTTTTTGTGAACAGTCCCATCAGACTGTTGAATAAACGTAATTTGAACGTACTTTACGCTAATTTTGTCCTTATGTAGGAGGTAATCTGAGACAAAATATCCACAGAATAGTGTTATTAACCCGACTTTCAGTACGCTGGTCTGAATGTTGGTTTCCAATTTTTTTTGAAGCAATTCGCATTCCACATGCACAATATGTCAACGATTAACCGAAGCACAGACCAAACGTTGTCCCACGCAATCAGCTGGCAAATTTCACAAGCACTTCCAGCTGATTGCGAGGGAACGCGCTTTGGTCGACATTGTTCGGTTACATTTGGCTATTGTTTACATATTGTGCATCACGTGAAATGCGTCAGGAGATTGAAATACAAGCAACAGAAACTACCGGCGCGGCAAAAAGTCGGGTAAACTACACTTTCCTGTGGTTACCCTATCTCCACCTCCTACGCCAAAAGGACCAACAGCACAGACAACCGGTAAAGTATGTTTAAATATCATCGTATTCAACATTCTGGCTTGTAGAGACTATTGCATCTTTTTTACAGCGACTTCTTTCAGACTGAATATCCATGGAGTAACCATGGTAACAGTTTAATGTTTAGACAACCCTCAGATAAGAAATCTACATGCCTGGCTCTAGGTTACACCTATCTAAACATACTCTACATTGTTTGCGAGATCAGACCTTATATCACTATAATCAGAGTGTTCATTTTCGGAAGTTACTTTCATTTCAGCTAATCTAATTTGTAAACATTTCAACTGTATTAAATAATTACTTTTGTCAATTCCACAAAAAATGAACACCCATAAAAATAAAGTTATCTTTCCTCTCTTTCTTGTGATGTAAGTGTCGAGATGATGCGTTAAATCCCCCTTCGAACACAGGAAATAGATGGCTGAAAAAGACAGACCGGGGCATGCGCGTTGCTAGCTACATCTGCATGGCGATGAAAGCCAGCTGGGACAACATGAGGTGCATTCAGTTCGCTTGAACGTTTGCTGTGCTGCGTAATGGTTTGTACTGTCCCTATAACTTTCTTGTACGTTCTTGAACAGCCTTTGAGGTATGTTTGCTCCCGTTTGGTGGGTGTGGCGAGGTGTGTCTTGAAGCAATGAGTGACATATCTAAAGGGAAGTGGCCATGCTGTCAGCGTTCCCCAACCCACAACCCAACCCCTCCACGTTTTTTCAGCTGGTCGTTCAGTACAGCACCATTTCCGTTCATTTGAATGTTTCAGAACATAAAAACATACTGAACGCAGCCCTGGAATACAAGGTGGCGCTAGGGAGCATGAGCTGGAGCTGATTGAGGGGATGGGGCTCTGGGGTCGTGTGGAGGTCAAGGAAGGGTTATACTGGATGAAAGGAGTCATGGGTAACTGCATACGTGGCGTGGGAGAATCAACAGAAGTGGGTGTATGGAAAGCAAATCAGCTAATTGGGCAGATTTGTTGCGAATCAAGACTGTTTTGCGTGGCTGATTGGGCTGCACGACGAGTCGATTGTTGACAACTGTAGCATTTTAGCTAAGCCTAATCCTAACCTAAACCTCATTCTCCTAGCCTTTTCCTAACCTTAACCTCATTCTCCTAACCTGCCATGTTAATTATCCTAACCTGCTACGTTAGTTCTCTTAACCTGCTATGTAAACATGAAGCTGACCCGCAGTGCACCTGACTATGGCCGGTCTAACCAATAATGGAGCTCTGATGTTACACCCATCGCTGTTGATCCACCCACTGATGTTACACCCATCGCTGTTGATCCACCCCATGACCGCTGTTGATCCACCCACTGATGTTACACCCATCGCTGTTGATCCACCCACTGATGTTACACCCATCGCTGTTGATCCACCCACTGATGTTACACCCATCGCTGTTGATCCACCCACTGATGTTACACCCATCGCTGTTGAATATAAAATTGACAGCATATCAACAATTCCCTCTGGGCAAGTCTGGAGAATATATCTAAGGATAACCACACAATATCAGGTGAATGCAGATGCTTCTGAAGCTG